GTGTTGTTTTCAAGCTTTCAAATGTGTCCGAAGGGATGCATGCCAAGGTGTCTGAATGGATGTTTTCAAGCTTGCCAATATGTCTGAAGGGATGTTTTCAAACTTGCCAATGTGTCTGAAGGGACGTTTTCAAGCTTGCCAATTTTTCTGAAGAGATGTTTTCAAGCTTGCCAATATGTCTGAAGGGATGTTTTCAAACTTGCAAATATGTCTGAAGGGATGTTTTAAAGTTTGCAAATTTGTCTGAAGGGATGTTTTAATGTTTGCAAATTTGTCTGAAGGGATACTTGCCAATGTGTCTGAAGTGATGTTTTCAAGCTTGCCACTCTGTCTGAAGTGATGTTGTCAAGCTAGCCACTATGTCCAAATTGATGTTTTCAAGCTTGCCACTCTGTCTGAAGTGATGTTGTCAAGCTAGCTACTATGTCCAAATTGATGTTTTCAAGCTTGCAAATGTGTCAGAAGGGATACATTCCAATGTGTCTGAAGGGATGTTTTTAAGCTTGCCAATGTGTCTGAAAGGATGTTTTCAAGCTTACAAATGTGTCTGAAGGGATGTTTTCAAATTTGACAATGTGACTTTATGGGATGTTTTCAAACTTGCCAGTGTGACTTTAAGGGATGTTTACAAGCTTGTCAATGTGGTTGAAAGGATGTTTAAAGTTTGCCACTATATCTGAAGGTATGTTCTCAAGCTTGCCACTCTTGTCTGAAGTGATGCTTTCAAGCTTTCCACTATGTCTGAAGGGATATTTTCAAGCTTACCAATGTGTCTGAAAGGATGTTGTCAAGCTTGCCACTATGTCCAACAGGATGTTTTCAAGCTTGCAAATGTGTCAGAAAGGATACTTGCCAATATGTCTGAAGGCATATTTTCAAGCTTGCCAATATGTCTGAAAGGATGTTTTCAAGCTTTCCACAGTGTCTGAAGGGATATTTTCAAGCATACCATTGTGTCTGAAAGGATGTTTTTGAGTTTGCCATTATGTTTGAAGTGATGTTTTCAAGCTTGCCACTATGTCCAAATGGATGTTTTCAAGCTTACAAATGTGTCTGACGGGATGCTTGCCATTGTTTCTGAAGTGATGTTTTCAAGTTTGCCACTCTGTCTGAAGTGATGTTTTCAAGCTTTCCACTATGTCCAAAGTGATGTTTTCAAGCTTGCAAATGTGTCTGAAGGGATGTGTGCCAATGTCTCTGAAGGGATGTTTTCAAGCTTGCCAATATGTCTGAAGGGATGTTTTAAGCATTCCAATATGTCTGAAGGTATGTTCTCAAGCTTGCCAATATTTCTGAAAGTAGGTTGTCAAGCTTTCCACTATGTCTTAAGGGATATTTTTAAGCTTACCAATGTGTTGAAAGGATGACTTTCAGTTTGCCACTATGTTTGAAGTGATGATTTCAAGCTTGCCACTATGTCCAAACGGATGTTTTCAAGCTTGCCATTATGTCAAAAGTGATTTTTTTCAAGCTTGCAAATGTGTCTGAAGGGATCCGTGCCAATGTGTCTGAACCAATGTTTTCAAGCTTGTCAATGTGTCTTAAGGATGTTTTCAAGCTTGCCATTATGCCTGAAGCGATATTTTCATGCTTCAACTATTTCCAAAGGGATGTTTTTTTATGCTTGCAAATATGTCTAAAGGGATGTTTTCAAGTTTACCAATGTGACTTTGTGGGATGATCTCGAGCTTGCCAATGTGACTTCATGGGATGTTTACAAGCTTGTCAATGTGTCTGAAAGGATTTTAATAAGTTTGCCACTATATCCAAAGTGTTGTTTTCAAGCTTTCAAATGTGTCCGAAGGGATGCATGCCAAG